AGAAACAATGGGTCAGTAGAGCAAAATTTAGAAGAAAACAACAAAAAAATGCAGAAAAAGCTACTGGACAAAATCACACATTCAGTGTTTGAAAAGCATTTTCACCACCTCAAAGAACTGTAGAAGGTATATTTTCCAGTCAAACAGAATACTACAATTAAGAAAAACAATAACAGGAGCTTACTGATGACACTAATTTTGCAGTGCTTTTAATGTTTTAGTTAAGCACGTGAATGATGGTACAAACCAGAGCCTGAACAAGAAGAGGCAGAGACTATCTCAGCCCTTGGCTCCCAGTCCTTACCCACCAGTTCCCATTGCAGACCTCCACACTGCACCCTCAGACTTTGTCTTTTGACTGAAACTCATTTCTCAGTCTCAGCTCCCAGCCTCTTGTCCCTGTTCTGCTTCTGCTCAGCAACCCTCACATGTGTTTTCCCAGCACATCACCATACAGTTTCTCACTTCCTGATTTTGCAATTCTCTCAACACCTGTGTAGTCTGCCATCTTTTCTCTTCAGCAAACCTGTCCTGCAATTTAATCTGCCTGGCTTCCTCACATAGCTAATTTCACTTTTCCCCGAGATCATTGTTATTCAGCATCTTCTTCCTTCCTTCCTACACCTCCCCAGCCTCATTATCTTGCAGTGACAGTCTCCTGCAGGTTCCTCATCCCCTCCGTATCTGGCTTTCTGTCTTGCTGGTGCTTTTTTCAGAGCATCCAAACCAAACCCATGTCCCTTTAGGGACCTGTTAGGTTACTTGACCAGAGCATCCAGACCAGTCCAGCCAACCACTTCTCCTTTCTGGTCTAATCTCCCCCAGTTACACCTCTGCATCTCAGTGGTACTCCAGACCCAAAGAGTCCCCAAGCTGAGGTACGTAACCACACAGAAGCTCAGAGAATGAAGTGAGACAGACAGGAAAGGACTTCCTGAAGAATTACTGTTAGGCATCGACAAATGGCGAACTTCCAATAGATTATGTGATTGAGGAGTACTTGGCATATATTGTTAACAGCAGTAAAAGATACATGTTCAAAGAAAAGATCAAAACATTTCACTTTGAATAAGAAAACATTCATTTTTGTAAATGCCTTTTTTTCAGAAAGGCTAAACACTGTTTTTCACTTGCCTGCAGGGTTTTGACTTCAGACAAAAGCAGATAGCTGGCATAGATGATTTCAGCCAAAATGATTACAGTCTTGGAAAACTTGCAACTCACTTGAAACACAGTTTTGCACAGAAATAATATATAATATAGCCTGTGCTATCAGCTTTGTCAGCAGTGTTAAAGATCAGATTCAGGTAAGTTTTCAGTGGCAAAAGCACAAGGATATATGCAACTATAAATGTTATTCCATAAGTGATATACAACATAGTATATGAAAATCTCTCTTCCTGAAGCAGAAACACTACTTTTAAAGGAAATGCTAGCTCTGTTTCTTGTTAGCAACGGAAAGTCAGGAAAATAGCAGCAAAACTTAGCCAGCCTCATATGAGATTGATTTCTAGTGTCAAGCTCATAAATGCAGAGAAGAATTCTCCACAACTGTTGTAGAAGGAAATCTGACACCTTTGTACATGTAAATCCTGCTGCTGGTTTCAGAGAAGCTGTTGGAAGTTAAATAATTATTTCGGCTTTAGATTCAGATTCACAAGTATAATGCTGTAACAGACAGGGACTGAACTACAATACAATCAAGTTATATCTACCGCAGTAACCTTGCATAAATATTCTGTTTTGCGGAGATGTGTGACATTACAGTACAGAGCATTTAACGACTGCTTCTGCACTTCCAGCTCCCTAGCAAGCAAGAGGTAAGAAGGGTAAAAGATTCTGGCACTGTAGCCCAACATATTTGCCAGTGTACAAAACTTGCTCAGGCTCAGAAGGCTGTGAAGCTGTCAGGCTCCATTCTGAGCTCTGCTGCAGATTACCTTTGCAACCCCTGGCTTGTAAACTTGATCTGAATGCAAATGCAGTCATACAAGCTGCCTGAGCACGTGGTGCTTCCAGGGAAAATATTCGCCAAAGGAAGGAGATGTGCAGATATTATGGAGTACATTACAATCCCGATGGCACAAAAATGTTAACCCACAGCTCCTGTTTATAGTTACTCTCCCACCTCCCCCCCCCCCCCCCCCCCCCAAAAAAAAAAAAAAGCTAGACCAGTTTCTTTGCTGCAGTTTCACATATGTAATTCTCCAATAAACACCACCGTCTTCCATGCTGAAGGCAAGACTATTGCTGTTTGCATTGAGCAGGATACAGCAGTGAGAAAATCTGTAAATAACTACCTAGGTAAGGACAGAAATACTTGGAAAAAAAATCTTGATTTCTCAAGAGTGAGTGATTTTTTCTTGGAGAAGGAAGTATGTCATATGCAGATTGTGAATGTCAAGTTAAAAGGGCTAGCTCCCCACATTTCATCTTGTTAGTATCCTACACAGTTCTGAGAATATGCTTCTTTGTGTAAAGTCTGTAAATATGGAAATCTGTATTCTGCTCTTGATTTGTACTTGAACTTGATTTGCACACCTGGAAAAATAAATCTAAATGAACAGCCTGAATAAACTCAATGAGCAGCCTACCTTGCAGCTTCATGGCTGCATTGTGTTCCTGTTATTTTTTCCGCTAAGGCTTTCCCTTAGAGCTGGCCTGTCGCTAATTCAGAATCAGTAACTGAAGTTACATTCTGCTAATATTCATATATCAACACATACCCTGTAACTAATTACCAATGACACCTTTTAAACTCCTAACAAATTGCAGAGGCTTGCATCTTTTTTTGTTAATTACAGCAAGACGAACACAAAAACTTCACTTGGTTGTAGAGCATTGCACCAGCCTCATGCCTAATAGAATTGGAGATGCATTTGCACAGGTCAGGTGAGCAAAGCTAACAGCCACCTACTTGTATTTGGTACAATATTAAAAGTGAGCATCTTCAGCCCTACCACTGCATCAGTGGAGCAGGTGCTTCTAAATGAATAGTGTGGTGCAGTGGCCTGAATGTATGCAAAGTCTGAGTAGGGAGAAAACAGTAAATTATGCACACAGAAAATACGAGGGGAGACGTTCAAAAAAGATCTGACAACTGTGCACAGCTAAAATCTTAAGCTTTTCATTGCATTTCAGATATTATGAGATGTGAGTCTGAATGCACTCAAATAATTTACACTTAAGCTGTGCTGCTGAATAGAGCTGCTGCTAGTGACACTGAGACTGACTCATAGGAATGTTTTGTTTGAGTGAGAAGACGACTGCTGTGCTTGACTGGCCGAAGCACCATATGTCTCTAGAACAGCACAGACCTACTTTATCCTGCGATTTGCTGTCAGGGTCTAGAGAAAGTCGCCCAGGTGGTTTGCTGATTCAGTATCCACAGTTGTGTTACTCTGTAAGTCGGATGAGCTTTTAAAGAGACCATATGTGAGTAATCAACAGCCCAGTCTGCCTTTTCACAGCCCCTTCCTTGGAGGTAAAACCAGGATGGAACAGTAAATATGTAGTGACATCTTCAGAGACTTCCCTGCTTTCACTGCAGAAATGCACGAGTTCTACTCTGCTGCCAACAGCACGAGTATGTGGCTCTGGATGATATCCCCTGATCCTCCATTTCCCAGTTATACGTGGCGTGTACTCTTTGAGGCTGCTTGAAGAAAAGGAAAGCGGGGCCTGATCCCTCTGACATAGCTACAGGAAGACTCTGATAATGAAATCCAGTGGGAGCTGAGTCTCCCTAGTGATGACTTGGCTTATTGTGACACTGGGCCCTTTGCACATGCCAGAACGTTCTCCTTAGGAAGGCACTCATAATAGAATGGAAGAACTCTGTGCTTGTTTTGCCTCTTAAGTGGAAAGGTCAAGACAGATTATTATTTTAGGACTGCATATCAGATCTTTTTGACAGTTATTCTAATGTATTAAACTATAACTCTGGGGTAAGGAAATTGGATATTCATACCTGATGTCAACAGAAGCCAAGCATCTCATGTCCTTAGGCTCTTCTGAAACCCCAGCATACATTTCTCAGCTAATTGAAAGCATATTTTCTTTAACAACAACTTGCAAGAAGTACTTATTCTTTCTCTGTGCAAATATTCCTCTGGGCTTTGTCTTATCACCACATATAAAAATATACTGGTATATGATGGTAACAAAACTTCCAAACATATGCAAAAAAAGACAATAAAATTAACAATGAGGAATCATATTCAAAATACTAAAATAGCATCCAGTTTAAGGTAGGTATGTTACATGAGCAAAGATTGACTTCACTCTGACAAGACTGATCCTGTAAGAAAATCTTAAAAGCTTCATGCTGAACACGCCTTCTTTACAGAATTCTTACAGTTATCAAAATTACGAAGTTTTTTTCTTATGTTCCCGCTCACATTAAGAAAATACTTTTAAAATAGAAATTAATAACTATCAACCTAGAATGCTTCCTTTTTCTCTGTTGTGCCATACAAAAGTACAGGTTCCACTCCCTAAAAATAACTAATTATGATCTCACAGGGCCATTTATGCTCCATTACACTATTGCAGTCTTTTGCATTCCTGAGACATCTGAGGGGGAAAAAAGCTACAGATACCTACAAAAACATAAATGACATTACTGATTAATTATTTCTTCATAGCAGCAGATTGTAGTACCTCAGACCTGGTGGTTGATGAGGCTTACTCTTTATTTTTAATTGGTAAACCAGAAATTATAACCTTCAGACAACATCATCATCCCAGAAATCAGTAAAAGGCAATTTCTTTAAAAAACAAAGAAACAACAACAACCAATCCCAAAGCATAACTGTTGAGAATAGATGATGCAGAGAATTACTGTTCATAGTAGTACACTTTTGTCAATGCAGAAGTCATCAAAACTGTAGCACCCCTCTGCCAGCAAATCAGAAACAGAAAGCAATGCATCTCCACTTGTTGGCCTCAAAAATATTACATGTTCAAAGACTGTAGGGTTACTTTTTCCACTGAATTACCTGTCCCAATGATCTCCAGTCCAGGCTTGCACTTCCAATGTACACGTGCTGTTTATCTACAATCCAGAAAGATGACTGAAGGCGTCCTTCATTATACGCTGACATGTTCATATATAGCACTTCAGCACCTAGAAATGTAGGGACACTACAATAAATAATACTGTTTAAAAGAACAGAAGTTGCAAGCATTAAAATGAAGAAATTTCACATTCTGTGGTCTCAGCTATCTGAGAGACATAATTAAACATGTTACTAAGGCTTGAAGTGTCACTATCCCACAACATCAGACTTCATTAACATATATTAACATATAAGGGGAAAAAAAGGTAAAGGGAACATCCTCTTTGTTTATTATCTCCCATTTAAAATCAGGTAATTGCTTTTTTTCTGTATGTTCCTAAATCCAGTTTATTTTTAAAGATCTATTCTGTAACTCAAACCTGCTACGTATCATAATGACCTCTGAAATAAAGAAACCCTTCCTGGAAAGCAAACTCAGCTCCTTTGCTCTGCGCAATGCTTTGCGCGCCCAGCATACAACGGGCTGCCACATGGAACAGGCATGGGGAATACGAGGGAGTGAGGAAGGAAGCAGAGGCCTGAAGTACATTTAAACTGCTTCGTTCAGCTGTGACGCTGAACCTGCTGATCTGAATGGCATGGTTTTTATTAGGATCATGGGCCACTGAAATCAACCTGCACATGAGGAGGTAAAAGCATGTTGGCTCCATCACGAGTGAAAATGCCTGGATCAGCCCCGTCAGTCTGTTTGCAGCACTAAATCCAAAATATATTTGACCTTAGGTAAGTTCAGGGGATTGTTAGCACCATGTTTTTTCAGCGATATTTATTTTTAAGATTAGGTAATTGATCTGAATTAATTATTGCCAAGGGTAATTTAGAGTAACCCAGTGTGACAACTAATATGAGACTAACTGATGAAGTGAGAGTAGACTGGAAAGCAGTAGCAGTGCCAGCACCTCCCAATAAGCATTCCTGTGCTCATCAGTACCACGCGTTTCCATCATGTCCAGAAAGAAATGACAACTTTAAAAACTCCAGGATACTTAGGGGAAAAATAAATATGTTTTTAACTTCTTATTTCTGACAAAGAAATATTCTGAATTTTAAGCTGTAATTGCCAGAGCTAAATATTCATTTTATTCCTTTTATTCCTTTTACAATTTTGAAAATTGTAAATCTCACTTGAATGAATGATTCTAGAAGTTCAGGCACCAGGAAGAGAAAAAAAATCAAATATGTGAAGCACCAAACACACAATGCAGGACTTCGAGCAAGAAAAGAACATGCCTTGTGGTCTCTACATTCATATGTACTTGGCACTAGCCAACCATGCTTCCAGTTTTTCTAGGTATCACACATCCACATTCTTCAATGCTAGGAAAACAAAGGAAACGCTGGAAACAAAGCATTACCCCTTTGAACATTTCTGCTTTCAATCCATGCGTTAATGAGTAGAATTATGCTAATGAATGAGATAATGTGTGTGAAATGGGAAAGAAATGAGAAATTATTATAGGGGCATTAAATGGATTAGATTGTTTTCTGATGAATAAAGGTGATTCCTCCTACTAGCTAAGGCAAACAATTCTGGAAAGCACTGAACTTCTAGCTGTATGTCTCAAAACTGCTTAAAAATCAAGTTTAACATAGCAGTTCGCTTCAATCAAATTTTCTTACATCCTATTTGCAACATTAAACAAGTTTGAATTTAACACCCACAGCCCACCTACAGCAACTAGCTTATAAACGAAGTGTTAGCATTTTTGTATAGGAAAGGTAACACTGTCAACAGAAACAATGGTCTTCCTTCCCATAACTGAGAGCCTAAAATAAAAGTCTTTTTAAAATATTTAGTGCCGAACAAAAATGCTGATGGCCAAATCCACAGCAGTAAACTATTTTACCAACAACATGCACATTAAAAACAGTAGCCATGATCAGTAACCCAACACAAAATTCTGGCTATAAGACCTAAGTAGCAGTTCACATATTGGTATGATCACTGGGACAAGACTATCACCCTAAAATATAAACTTAAGTTTCAATTACCAAAATAGTGAGTACAGCACGCAGACGATACTGCTGGCACACATACAATTAAAAACAAAACCTGGAACCCAATTTATTTTCCTCCAGGAAACAGCCCACTCACAAGGTTGAGGAAACAGTATCTCCAAGTTAATTAAAAAAAAAAAGTCATGTGTTGCAGCAGCAGCTGCTGTACAGCCTATTACAGCCCTTAACTTTTGATGAAAGGAAACATGCATCAGTATTGATAATTGCCTCTGTTCTAGAAGCCCTTGAGATGTTTTGTTAAAATACGCTTATTGGACCTTCAACACAATCCATCATCCCTAGCACAGCCCAGGTCCCACGAGGAAATTAAATTGGACTGATCAATATGAGAAGCCATAACAGAACTCTTTATCATACCGCAGCCTCAGTTACACAAGGCTGGGTCTACTGAGTTCAACCAAAAGGCACAATTTGTAGGTTTGATTGCTACCATAGATACCAGACTCTTAGAAAATAAATCTAACAATTTTGGTTCACTAAACATTAAAGTGCAAGATGAGAGCTTAGAGAAAAACAGTGCTGACACTCAGAACTCAAGTGGATTTCTCCTGAAACTGTGCGCTGTAAGGGTTGGTCCAGAGTGCCCCTTTCCTGCATGAAGAAAGAACACTATAGGATAGGTATCAAAGCACGCTGTAAGTGTCAGGCATTTCTCTGAGTACTTTCTCTTGGCCTAAATGTTCCGCACTCCAGAACAGAGCAGTGACTGAATCAGGTTGGGGTGCACAGAGAGGCCCCTGCCCTTGAACACCTGGGCTTTCTGTGAGGCAGGCTGCAGCAGGCCAGGGTGCACAGGGCTGCCCCTCAGCCTTGTTCATGCCACAGGCTGGAGGCGGTGAACAGAGGCTTTAGATCTTACATCTGCATGCAGCCTGGAATAGCACCAGGCTGTCCTGGTACAAAGGCAGTGTCACTGAGCCAAATCAACACTCCAGTGGACACAGTAAAGTGTTTTTATAAAATAACCAGAAAGAGCAACTGTTTAGACTGCCGTTATCTCAGCGGCCTTGAAAGCAAACATGCAAATTCTCAGCAGTGCCAGTAGCAGACCAGGCTCGCCCTGGAGCCAGCAAACATAATGCCCATGGAACGGAAGCTGTGTTGCTTGTACTGTGGCTAAAATTGGCCTTCTGTCTTCACTACTTTCTTACTCTAATCTGTGATGTTTTTAAAACCAAAGACAAGAAGGGAAAGGGAAGGATCTGTGGATCAAGAGGAGAGTCGACCTGGGAAGCGACAGCGATAGTGAGGGGTGACTCAACACAGGCAGAGCGGTGCTGAAGGCCCGAGAGCCCTCACCTCGTTGGCCCTGATAGAAGGGAACTGCGCAGCAATAAGAAGATGGCGGGAAGAACAGAGATACGCAACCTGACAGCACGTGTTGGGAGTGTGTGTGGTGCAGGACAGCAGGGTGGGAGGCAGGCTGGGTACAACTGCTAGGCAGAAGAGAGCTGTAAATGCGGACTTTTTAATGCCCCTTCCTCCCCATCTCAAGGGAACAGGGCTGTGACACAGGGGTGTGCAGGTGGTGGGAAGAGGCAGCTGCACCAACTATTGGTAGTCTCAGGATGTGGGGGAATTGGTGAGAGCTCCCAGCAGGGAAGGGAGAGCAGGATCCAAGGAAGCTCTAGTACACTATATGAGCCTGGCCAGGGAAAGCAATGCTGCTTACGGCTCTCCAGAATATTTGCTGTTTGAACCTGGCAAACGTTCCTGCCCCACATCCAATCCACCATGCATCCCCCAGCCACTGCTCCCCACATGTCACCATGCTGGCCACAGCAGGACCAGCTGCTCTCGTTGAATTACCCATCTTGCTGTCCCTTCACTCATCGCCATGTTGCATACCCTTTGCTCATGGCACTGTTGTTTTCCTCTTCTAATTCTATGTATTCCCAAGCAAACATACCAAGTAACATGACCTTTCAGAAGGAATCTAAGGGTTTGAGCTATGGCTAATTTGCTTTGCACTGCTGCTGACAGTCACTTGGCGCACAAAGAGATTCATTTTGATGCATATATTTTGGACAGTGGCCTCAAGCTAAAGCCAAGAGCGGGCTTACCCAGTCCATACCAGGAAATCTAGAGCTCACAAGGCACTCATACACTTGAGCACAGGGGTGCTTGAGCACTCACATGCGGATAGGAGGCATTGCACACTACGTACTGTGCCGCTGTTGTGCCAGGGAGCAGCTGCCCTCCTTCAGCTATTTTGACTTTTCAGAGCAGCTGCGATGCTGTTAACGTGCAACTCAAAGCTCAACAAAAGATCCTTTATTACCCCTAAAACCTCAAACTTACTTTTTAAACACAACTTGCTCACTACAAAACATGAACACGTGTACACACATCTACGTAGATGTATATATTTTCAAAGTGAACACTTCCTTACATTATGCAACAGATGCATCCATTTTACCTACTTGCTTTCAGCTACAAGACAAAGTACACCTATAAATAAAAATCAGTTTCATTGTACTGAGACAGAAATCCAGAATTTTCTGTACCCTGCCAGGTGGCAGAGTAGCTGTCCTGTAGTGTACAGACACAAGAGACCCCGGCAGAGGATCAGCTCCCCAGGAACATTTCTGCTTTCTTCTTAACTGATTGCAAAACCTCTGGAGTTGTTCCAGAAACTCCATTAGTGTGACCTGCCAGTGCTCAGAGGAGGACAAGTACAAAAGCAAAGGAATGCACAACTTGACAACACAAAGTTGTTTTCGCCTCTGAATGATTAAAAGGCAAAATAGACTATCTACTATTTCTTGCTCTTTATGGAATATTGGATTTGAAATGTAATTTAAAAGTCTGCCTGGTTGCAGAAGGATTAATGATTCAGACTAATATTACGGAGAGAACACTCATGGACTTTTAGGGAAATCTCTGATGGCAATACCTTCAGTGCAAATCAGCTGTTTTGCTTACATACTCCCCTGTTTCTCTCACACATACCCCTCTTATTGCAAACAACCAGGACTGATCCTGACATTCTGGAATTATGTGCTATTCACCAGTTCAAACCCATAGT